TCTGTCGTTTCAAGACGGGTGCTCCACCATCAAAAACAAACACCGGTTTGATGCCGAAGTACAGCAGCTTGCATATCCGACGGAAGAAACCAACAACATGGGAATTACGTAGAGCATTGCCCTCCTTGTCTCGTACGGCTTTGAGGAATTGATATATCCAGATAGACGCGTCAACTGCGAGACGCTTTTTGTTGAGCGTCTCGAGCTTGATAGGCCGAGCGCATGGCTGGACGACTGTCCACAAGCCCGTAACACCCATGCTGACAAGACAGCTGAAGTGGTACTATTGCCAAGAATGATACGGCACAAAAGGTAACATGGCCGATGTGAAAGTCGCAGAGAGCATTTACATTATATGCAGCCAGTTATCCCTGCACACTGAGCAGGCCGAAAAGCCTAACAACGTCGCAACGGCTGAAGATATTGCTGTTCGATGACAAGTTCCTTCGCGTCGCCACCTGATGAAACTCCCAGGATCGCGATATCACGTGAGTAATTAGCCCGCTTCAGGAATATACTGCCGATAAGGGAGTCTTACATAATCAGCTCACTTACGATAAGAAATTCTGGAATTTTGAATAATTGTCTCGGCGCGGGGGAAAGTCGGCGAATGAAGCATTGATCAATGCGCGATTCTTGAATTAGATTTTGTAGCAGATAAGACTGATGTCTTTCTGTGACATCAATGCATTCCTCGCTCGAGGTTAGTGGAATATCAGGTTTGCCGTTGCAAGCGTAGTGCTGACCAACAACACAGCACATTGATGCCTGCCTCCCCGTAACTGCGCTAAAAGCGCTGGTTTTGGGAGACATAAGGCTCATTATTCAAGGTCAAGGGCCTTATTGTCAAGTGGTCAAAGAGCAGAGTGGGCAGCTACTGGCAAAGCTCAAAACCTTCAGGAGAAACAATATCCATGGATTCATTCTCCTTACTCAAGACCAGCACGGAGCTGAGAAACCATGCACACGACTCGCGGTGTGGGGCGGAAGCTCCTTAAGGGTCATTGACTTGTCCCTGGCTAGAAATGATGCTTCTGGAGATGTGGAAGTTTCTCTGCAAGCTGTTACTGCGGAATGTTTGGCCCCAGACTGGATTCTCGCTGGATGTTCGCCCAACCAGAGCAGCAGAGCAGACCGAGCTTATGTGGTCACGGCTCATAACACCGTACTCAGTCTACATGTGGTAGAAAATTCACATTCTGTCAACACAATTTACCTACAGCAACTGGTTACGGGTGTCAAGTCCATTCTTTTCTCCGCTGACACCATCTCGCTGTCGTCTTCTCACATTTTAATTGCTGCGGGAACCGTCTTTGGCGAGATCATAGTCTGGTCTTGTTTTGTAGACGACGATGAGAGCAATCCCTTGGCGCTCAATGCAGTTGGCTCCATCCATCACTTTTTCACTGGCCACGAAGGTTCTATTTTCGGGGTTCAGATATCACCTCCTGTCTGCTCCTTGCCCGGAGGGCAACCAGGAAGACTTTTGGCTAGCTGTAGTGACGATAGAACTGTCAGGGTATGGGATATCACGGACTGCGAACATGCATCCCGTCATGATCCTTCTGCCTACTCGACAGATGGCTTCGAGCTTCGGACCACAGGGTTTGGTGCCATTGCAACAACTGACGATAAATCTGGTTCAGAGTCATGTCTTGCAAAGGCATTCGGGCATTCAGCACGAATTTGGGGTGTTCATTTCTTGCTCGCCAGGGCGGGGAATCAGAACAAACTGGCCATTGTGTCTCGTGGTGAGGATGCGAAGTGTATCCTGTGGGATCTGAGTTGGAGTCTGTCGTCAACGCAGAAGACCGAATTCAAACTGACTCAGTTATCGTCTCCTCATCTCCACAGCGGCAAACATATCTGGTCACTCGACTTGTGCGGCTCCGGGACACAAACCACGATATACACTGGAGGTGCAGACGGCGCTGTGAGGAGCTTCAAAATAGACGTAGATGATACGGCGTCGATCTTATTACCGAATAGGGATAATCGCATTACGGTCTCAAGCGATTCTCAAAGCACAGTTCCTGCAAGAGAAAGGTCGTTCAAAGCCTTCGCATTTATCTCACCGGAGTTGTTCGTTGCGACTACTCTCCAAGGTGAGATCCAGCTTTGTTCGATACGGACAGACACTGGTAAAGGACAACTCATCTTCAAGGAAACTCTGCATGTCGAGGAAGACCTCCGGTCTTTCTCAGTAGTTTCTAGTCTACCACAGAAAGGAGTGGCTCTTCTTGGCAATGCACGCGGTTTGATTCGACTCTACACGCACGGCACTGGGTTGTTGAACCAAATTGTGCAAGCGGATGGCAGACCTCTGCAGTTGTACTTCCTTGAGTATGATAATGACGCATCAGAAGCCTCTACGACCCTCACTTTCGCCACATCCTACGCAACACTCAGAAAAGCAGATCTCTTTCAGGTCACCATCCAAGCGAATGCCGAGCCTAAAATTGTCAAGACAGAATTGTCTTTACCTCATGGGATGGAAGTAACCTGCGCCTCCTGGATCTCTAGCCAGTATTTGGCCTTTGGGATCAAAAGCGGCGCACTCCTGGTTTACAGACTTGCAGAAACTGGAGCATCTCTGCAGCCGATCATTTGCGCTCTGAGAGTCCATGGTCGAGAGGGCGTTAATCAGATCATCCAGTTCTCATCTTTGTTCGAAGAGGCGGAACTTTCATCGGACTATTTCATGACCTGTGGCCGAGATGGCGATTACTGCATCCATCAGCTGGAGGAAGTGGTAGGGGCGGATGTTCGCCTCCGTACAATCCATCGTTCCTCCCCTGCCGTGCACTTGAACGTTGAGGGAATCTATGTCGACCTAAAATCACGAGACTTTATGCTTTATGGATTCCAGAGCACTGAATTTATTCTTTGGAATGAAACGACTCAAACTGCGGTGGCCCGAGTCGACTGCGGCGGAGCACGTCGAATGTGGGACTTCCACCCGAGTCATGAGACTCCCGGGGCTGGAATACTCCTCTGGACACAATCAGGGTTCAATGCTCTTCGCATACAGGCCGGAATAAACCGTACCTTACGTGCCGGCGGCCACGGCAGAGAAATCAAGTCGATGGAGGTATCTCCTTCCACGCCCGAGCGGGAGACTCTCATCGCCACTGGAGCAGAAGATACCCATTTACGCATTTTTGCGCCTCTTCATGAACTCAACGAGACTTCATGGGGCTCACTCAGGTGCCTACGTGTTCTTAGAGACCATACTGCTGGAGTGCAGCAAGTTACCTGGTCCACAGACGGAAAAACGCTTTTCTCGAGCGCCGGGTTCGAGGAGCTGTTTGTCTGGAAGTTCCGGCAGATTCCCTCGTTTGGTCTGGCAACTGTTCTCGCAGCCTCTAGTCCCAAGGATGACCCGGCATCCGAGCTGCGAGTGACGAGCTTCGACGTGCTGGACGTGACAGAAGACGCTGATGGTGGCTTCCTTATTTGCCTGACATTGTCAAACTCCACGATCAAGGTAAACTTCTTCTCTCGTCAGTTTACCCATTTTTGCTAATATTATAGATCTTCCATTATTCCTCCTTGGTCGATGGGGGCCGCTTTACCCTCCTAGCACGAGGCGCCTACACAAGCAATTGCCTCACGCAAGTACAGTTCCTCGTAGAGGGCTCTTCGATCGGGCTCATTACYGCATCTACGGACGGACACTTTACATTATGGCACTTGAGTCCTGTTCTAGAGCCTTACTACTTGATATCGGCGTCGACTTTGCGCTTGAAGCAACCATTGGAGACGCTATCTATTTCTCCACCAAACATTGCATGCGAGAATCGCTACCAAATTCACTCGAACAGTATCAAATCCCTGGAAATGGCCCGTATATCGGCGACAACATCACTGGTTCTCGCTGGAGGCGATGACAATGCGCTCACACTTTCTCTACTATCAGTAGACTTCTCCGACGCAGATGCAGGCAATGATGTGTGCACGATCACGATCCCAGACGCACACGCTGCCTCCGTCACCACCGTCAAGATACTTGAACAGCGGCCGTCAGACAGCCAGAGCAAAACGCAAGTTGTTTTCGCCTCCTCGGGCAACGATCATCGGGTCAAGGTCTGGTGGGCGGAGGTTGATGCCATGCAGAGCGGGCCGGAAGCCATCCAAGTCGGTAATTTAGTCGATCAGTACAGCGCCGTTGCTGATATATCGTCTTTGGACTTGATCCATGACGAGTCAGGGACGAAGTTGCTGGTGTGCGGCGTCGGAATGGAGCTGTTAAGCTTACAGCTCTACTAGCGCCACCTTCACGCTCCATCAGGTTACGACGTAATGGCTGATTCTTATAGAACCCAGCATTTGGCATCTGAATTGTTTGAAAGTATAGCAGAAACTGGTTCACTGCGTGTACATATACCTAGACGGCCGGCCAGTTCTCACTGTCCGTCGATGTCCATACACCTCCTCAGCATAGAATCAACACTGAGCTCAGTGATACAACAGACATCGTGTTCTGCAAGAATGTACTCCCCAATTTCTTACATCTGTGTCTCTTCTTCGTTCTTGCTCATTCCACCGTGACCAAAGTGGAATAGCCCACTCCCCTGGGACTAATGTGCTGTTTCATCTCTGCAAGCCAAGGCACAAGTTGAAACCTGCCTTAACACGCGATGAACAATGTAATGATGATCGTAATAGTCATGGCTTCATTACCATATCCTCGTTGTCGGATATTCTACCCCGCAGTTTCATTCATGCATAGCAATATGGGGTTAATAGTCCGTGACTCCTCTCACCGGGGATGAGTTGTCCGCCGAGTCGCTGATGTGCAGAATCAGGATAAAAGGGTAAATAATCATACCACGGGGTGGCTTGTGACCTTGAGATGTTTTACAGATGTATATGACTCTTACGGATGAGGCCAAGGTACGCGGCGCAAGGGATGATGTTGGATTGGTGGGTTCCAGCGCGTCTGGTGAACAACCATTGTCTCCAATCCCATGAGCAATCATACCTTGAGTGAGTACTCCATGGTTTTGATCCCAGAGATCCCTACTCATATGAAGCCAGGTACTGGAACAACGGCAGGAGGCGTGAATTGGGTCGGATATCTGACAACCGCAGAGTACCCGTCTCTTGTCCTGAGCTGCGATCTCGCGGTTGGAGGCGCAATCATCGGTGGCTCGCTTGTTGGGAGCACTGCAAACGATCTTGTTGGGTAAGTGAGGACGTTTGATGCGACTTATAGCAGCAAGCGGGCTTCTGCACCGTGGACGTCTGAGGATGCTGTTTTGCATTTCGGATTGGGATCAATGAGTACGCGGCGCTTCACTTTCGCCCCTGTCTGGACTGACGTGGGATGTTTACTTGAGAATAGTATTGGGAGTGCATACTACCGAACAAACGCTTCAACATTCGTTCCACAGCTGATCGGTCGACTTGAAGACCTCGTAGGGGACATTTACAGCTCCTGGGGACGCAAATACCTCTCTATCAATGTTCCCCCGACAAGCCGGACGCCCATGTTCATCAAGCAGGGCGACTGGGCAGTTGAACTCTCGGCGGCTTATCTAGCTGTCTATAATCAGCAGCTCGCGGCCATGGTGGAGAGGTTCAAGTCTAGCGACTGGTGGAACGATTACCATCCTGGGACGAAGTATCATCAGCGCCAGGCTGAGGATACGAAGGCTAGTCTGGTGCCCCTTGGTGCATGGTGACTCTAGAGCAGCACGATGGTATAACCTAGCTTTGTCAGTCTTTGCAGTTTGGTATGCGACAGACCATGACTAGGTACCAACACGTCAATGTTGAACGTAGTTGTTAACCGAAAGTCAATGACATTGTCAAGTTGTTGCCCAACAATCAGAATACTGAAATGGTTTCAATTACTTTCTTGTTTGTTTGAGCAATCCGTTTTTGGGAAATGCCTACCCCGACTAGCTACTATGTACATATTTTATGTCAAACCGGGACCAACAATAATCAAGCCCGGCGCACGAACAATTGAGCTCCACTTTAAGAACTTTATGATTATACACATATATTCAAGGTTGCTGAACAATAGCTTCTGTATACCAGAATGTCAATCTCTTTCCCAGAATGCCACGGGCATGATTGAGGAGATGTTCCATTTTGTCCTTTACCCGGAACAATTGATGCGACGATCACTGCCGCATGTCTCTCTCTCCTCGTCTCGTCAAAGAAATCAATCCCCGTCTTGTTTCAGGGTCGCCAAGACAATATCTGAATCGTGGGATTATCATGGACAAGGTTCCGCATGGGGTTCCTGGATCCACTATGCTGTAGCAGCCATGTACGCTCCACTCTTTAGTTCCAAGCTTTTGGCATCATCCCCCAGCTCTTGCTTCGATTTCTGACTTGCTTGGCAGCTTCTCGTTGATCAATACTGGATTCGCAGTCTGCAACGCTGCAATATGCTGTTGGCTTTTTTCCAACCGGAATATGATCTGAAGTTTTGCAGTTTGTGCGACGGTCCGAGAACCCGATAATTGACTGATGAAGGACCATTGAGTTTCATTCTGATGCCGTGGAGAATCCTTCGGGGGTCTGACTCGCGATCCTAACAAATAATGTCGGGCAGAGGAGTCTCAGAGCTCAGGCCAGCTAGCCTGGCCCAGCTTGCCAAACAATATATAGCAGGTCTTGTCCCCTCGTTCGAATCCTGGCAACCAAGTCAAGCTTGAGTCGTTCCTTTTGAGTCGTTCCTTATCTTGATCTTTTTATTTCTAGAGAACATTCTCTTCTGGCTACCATGAAGTTCGGTAACCTTGTGCTCATTGCTGCTGCGGCAGGCTCCGCGGTGGCTGCTCCTGCAAAGGAGCAGAAGAGAGCTTCAGTTTTCCAATGTTGGTTCCCTGATTGGTAACGTTGGGTTAAAGGGATGCTGACATGCTGCAGGGTTCGGAAGCAATGAGTCTGGAGCCGAGTTTGGCCAAAACACTATCCCCGGCTCTTATGTATGTTGTGATTTTAAGAGAAATATACGGCTGCTAACTACCTCAAGGGAAAAGAGTTCATCTTCCCCGACCCTTCCACAATCAGCACATTGATCGGAAAGGGCATGAACATCTTCCGGATTCAATTTCTCATGGAGAGACTGGTGCCAAGCTCTATGACAGGCTCCTACAATGAGGAGTACCTGGCCAATCTTACTTCGGTAAGTTGGAATCAGCAGCAAGGTAGGACTGCATCAGGCTGACTCGTCCAGGTTGTGAACGACGTCACAAAGGCCGGATCTTATGCCATTTTGGACCCGCACAACTATGGCAGATAGTGAGTAATGCCTGATTTGTTGCGTACTTGATCTGACACCACTCAGCAATGGCCAGATTATCTCCAGCACCGACGACTTCAAGACATTCTGGAAGAATCTGGCCGGGAAGTTCAAGTCCAACAATCTGGTCATCTTCGATACTAGTAGGGCTAACTCAACTGGTTCTTCTGGGCTTCACTGATCCGACATGCTAGACAACGAGTATCACGACATGGACCAGACGCTGGTTCTGAATCTCAACCAGGCCGCCATCAACGGTATCCGCGCCGCGGGTGCCACCTCGCAATACATCTTCGTGGAGGGCAACTCCTACACCGGCGCCTGGACCTGGGTTGACGTCAATGACAACCTGAAGGCTCTGACCGATCCCCAGCATAAGATCGTCTATGAGATGCACCAGTATCTCGACTCGGACGGCTCAGGCACCTCGGCTACCTGCGTGTCTACCACAATTGGTAAAGAACGCGTCACAGCCGCCACGAAGTGGCTTAAGGATAACGGTAAGGTTGGCATCATCGGTGAATTCGCTGGTGGCGTCAATGATCAGTGCCGGACTGCTATTTCAGGAATGCTGGAGTACTTGGCTCAGAACACGGATGTGTGGAAGGGAGCCCTCTGGTGGGCGGCTGGTCCCTGGTGGGGAAACTATATGTTCAACATGGAGCCTCCGAGCGGTGCGGCTTATGTGGGCATGTTGGACATCTTGAAGCCCTATCTGCATTGACCAGAGAGTTGAATAGGCACGTCTGTATAGTCAGGACGGTTGCTAGGGCGTGAGTTGAGGAATCAAGCACTGTACATAGTATTGAAAGAGAGATCGAACGGCGCATGGATCGTCTCGATATCAACGATTACGAATCTAGATTCGCTAGTCGCGCGTTCCCTAGTATCCTCTGATAGCCACTGATCGTCTGATATCACTAGTGTATTATTGTTGTTGAAGCGAGACCCAACCTAGTGGCACGTCCTATGTCCGCTATGTATCCAGGCCCACAGTACGACACTAGCGGACTTCACAGCCACTACCTTAATTGTATCTTTTTTCCTGTGATGGAATAGCTCCAGGCTAAACCAAGACACTGTCTGAGTTTAATCTCAAGAAGCTGGTCTGTAGTGTCGATAATTAGGTGCCTAAATTGAGGCGTAGTCAGTTGCGTTTCATCAACCTCATCTACTTACTACTACTCCGTATGCATATGTGCCAAGACTGAAATGGAGGAGCCTAATCAAGGTTCATCCTTCCTGAGATCCCTTGCGCTGCTTCTCTGTGTCTGTCGCTCACGCAACTCCTACTAGGTCAAAAATAGCAAATACCAGCTGCCGACCGGTCGAGTTTAAATCCCACACTCTGCATATACGACAGTAATAGAGCGTTAGCTAAGCCCTAATCGGACCGGCAACCGATCCAGGAAGACTAGAGTCCTAGATTATAAGGAGGAATGGGCAGCTGATGATAGCACCTGCCAAGAGCACACTGCTGCATGTACATCGTATATGAGCTTGTCACATCCACCGAGTTAGCTGAGAATATTATATTGTGAAGCAGTCAGATAATGACGGTGGGATAGGTTGTAGATCACTTGACTCAGGGCCGGACAAGGCACTCTAAAGTTCTAAATAGTCATGTAGATTGATTAACGAGCATCAGCACCTTGCTAAACATCCTGTTACTCTTTACAGAATACTGAGTACTCCGTACACAATCAGTTATCTGCATTTCCCGTCTCCTCTCTCTTGCGATATCTATATGAAACTGCGGATTCGAACGATAAAATCCTCCGCCAGCAGCCCAGCCACCGTTTATGACGTGGCGGTATGGCTCCCGCCACGAGGTTTTCGTGTCCGTTACCCCATCTGGGCATTTGAGTGCAGCTAATTTGCTGGGCCCACAGGTTGCGGTGGAAACATCTAAAGGTACTAGTACAAGATCCCGCTGGTTACAGGATTTTTGGGGAGTACGTAATCTTGTCTTGATCAATTTATAGAAACACATCGTGGCGTAGCCGTGTTTTTCTCGTGTCTGATTGGCTCGCTGATCCTCTTCGATCCTGCGCCCCCCAAACAATTTGCGATATTGTTGCCTGAGGCTGTTCTGATCGTCGCAAAGTAGACAATAAAACCATCCAAGCTTCCATCTCACTTGGATCATCATTTTCAACTTCATTGTACTTTCAAGCTTAGATTTCTTTCATTGGGGTCGTCTTTATACAAAGGATTTCAAGGATCGCAAGAATAAGAACCGGACAAAGAAGAAGCTACTAGCTACTATCTACTATCCAACAACACTCAGCCGTATCCGCGTCACCAACACACAATATGGGCAAAGCCGGTCGCATTGCGTGCATATTCACACCATATGCACTTACTATCGCCTCATTAGTATGCATCATAATGGTCGGCTTGGGCTGTACGCAGTCCAGTTCATCCACACTCAATAACCTCTACTTCTTCAGAGTATGTTTATCCAGCAGAAAAGCCAAAATCCATGCAAGACTAACTTCCCACAGGCCGATCTCCAAAACCTGACCACTTCCTCATCAGTAAAATCAGCGGTAAGCTCCGCTCTCGAATCAGCTGGTGTCGATATCTCGAGTAGCGACCTAGCCAAGGCCCTCGATGAGGCGCAAAAGCAACTCAAGATCAAGGATTTCTACGACATCGGTCTTTGGGGATACTGTGACGGAGATGTCAGCAACGGCAACTACAAGACCAACAATTGCTCCAAACCCGAAGCCGAGTTCTACTTCAACCCCATCACGGTCTGGCAGCTCAACAATACCGGTGTGGAGAACGTCCTGCCGAGCGATCTTTCCAAGGCTCTGAATACCTACAAGAACGTGTCCAAGTGGATGTTCATCGCCTACATCGTTGCCTTTGTCGCGACCGTCGTCGAGCTCGTTGTCGGTCTCTTTGCCATCTGCAGTCGCTGGGGTAGCTGCGTGACCAGCCTTGTCTCAGCTGTATGTTCTCTTCCTTGATTTCTTTATATTCCCGTCACTAACATCAAGACAAAGGTCTCCTTCCTCTTTATCACCGCCGCCTCCGTTACATCCACCGCCCTCTTCGCCGTCCTGAAAGGCACCTTTAACGAGGCCCTCAAGGACTACGGCATCAAGGGCTACATGGGAAAGAACATCTACGTCGCCACCTGGCTGGCCGTCGCCTTCTCTCTCGCCGGCAGCCTCTTCTGGATCATCTCCTCGTGCTGCTGCTCCGGCCGTTCCCCCTACCACGGCTCCAGCAAGCCCCGCGGCGTCACCGCTGAAAAGGCACCTTATACCTATGAGCCTCTTGGTCCTCAGGCCAATCAGACGCATGCCGCCTTTGGCAACACTTCGTATCCGCCTCCTCCGGCTCATGGTAACCAGGTCCCGATGCAGAATATGAGGAACAACGCCTACGAGCCCTTCCGCCATGTCTAAC